GCCTTTTCTCTGCCTTTGTGTCCGTCTGTCTTTTACATCTTTGAAACACTCTTCTTTTCCCCTGTCGAATTCTTCCCACTTTAATGTCCCTCCCTTCTGTGAAGCCCGAAGTCAGCTAAAGGGCTAATGATAACTATCAAAATGCCTCCCATTTGAAATACATAAAATTTCAGTTAATGGACCCACCTTAATATATGCTCCAGTGATTGTAATTAGACACTGATCAGCTTCAGTTTTATCAGAAAGAAACTCCCCATCTGGAATGCCCATTGATTCAAGAGGCCCTAACGCTGTTAGCTGAGGAGAAGGTGGTTCTGGCGGTGGCTGGGGTTTAGAGCCGATAGCTTTCCCCGTTTCTAAATTAACCGTCAGATGGGCGTCGGAATGCTTTTGTGCACTCAAAGATGGTATCGAAAGGAGTTTTGTTGATTTGGTTGGCTGTTGACCATCTGACAGCTCATCATTTTGAGATTGACTTCTCTGGGTTAGTTCTGTCATTATAGTAGTAGTCTCAGACATCACTTGATTAGTTAACGGACTTGGTGGAGGTTTTTCTTGTTGTTCATCTGTGTGACCTGGCTCCACAGCATCAACCTCTGTGCGAATAACTCTCAAAATTTTCCTTGGCAGTGGTCGCATCTCCCAATGCTAAAAACGTTGACGTTTAGTTGCAAGTGATTTCAATCATAAAGCTAAACGATTCTTTAAGCGCTAAAATCGTAAGTGTTCACTACATTAGTTATTTTGAACCGCGAACAATGTATTATATTAAAATAAGGAACTGTCAGAGTTCGAAATACTGGAGTAAACTCGAAATCATCTTGGAATGAGCGATTCCGTTGATTGTCTACAAGTCGTACATCACTCTTGTCAATATTCGATTGCACGCTTATGCTTACAGTTCAACAGTCAGAGCAAAAACTGTAATCTATCCGACGGTGTTCAACTCTCCATCCATTAATCATACGACGGCGATTTCAATTCAGTTACAAGTTACACAGGCGTTAGAAGTAAGCTCACAACCTTGCTGAACGAAAGTTAAGACAATGCGTCCTGTACTCAGATCGGATCAAACTGGAAGGTGAACTGCAGGAGGTTAGCGTGGTCATTGGCTAGATCGAGAGCCATCATCACTTGTCTCAATCACTTCGGCTTTTGACATTTTGCCGTTTACTTCTTGGTCCTTATTGCCATTTTCCATATATTTCAAAGATTATATGGAAATTCATATTTACTGATGTGGTTTAATAAGGATCATAACTTTAGATTATCCAAAAGTCCCGATAAATGTACCCCAAATACTAATTTTCATGTTTAAGGTCATATTGAATACATTTTATCATGTTACTGCTACTCTTAAAACTTCCAAAAAACGGATGATAAAATTTCCCTGTAAACACATTATAGAATTACTGAAACTGTGTACTTAAGCGTCACCTGAAAGGGCATATTGAGATGAAAATCCTGAAAGACTGCAAAAGTGCCAAAGACCTCAGTGAAGAAAGAGATTTCATTCAATTCAGGTCTGAAATGCTCGATGACGATGCCTCTGGTTCTCCACATCTGAGTTTCTGCATCCCAGCAGGCCAAAACAGGCTCTTCTGGAATGATAAGGCATTTCGGCAGACTAAAAAAGCAATAATAGAATATGGGCTCTCACAGTTAAAGAAAGTTTCAAAACTTGGTTATTCAAGTCTCAGTGCTTTCCATTGATTAATTGGTGTGCGATAGACTTACCTCCACGTGGTGCAACCTGGGCAACGTATACTCATACGGCAAAAAAGTCTATTAATCGGCATTTGACTTCTGACTTCAAACTACCACGACCCCCCTGGTTGTCATATTCGACCCCTTCCACAGTACTCACCTCACCTTTTTCTCTACCTTTGTGTCTGTCTGCCTCTTTTACATCTGTGAATCGCTCTTCTGTTCCCCACCATTCGACTTTCTGCTACTTTGATGAACCTTCCCTCTGTGAAGCCCCAAGTCAGCTAAATGGCTAGTGATATCTATCAAAACGCCTGCCATTTGAAATAAATAAATTGGCCGAAAATTACGAAGCCATGAGATACTTAATAGTTGTATCAGTTTACAGTTACTTCCTCTGGCTTTAGGCTCAATTTCAGGAGACATTATTAAAAGTTAACTAAGCTTTAATAACCACAGATAGGCTATAATATGTAAAATATTTGTGAGATACTTTAAGGATTTTTGTTTTCGTCCATAAATAGGAAACTGGAAGAAGCCTTCAAACCTCTTGATCGTTTAAACAGGCATCGACTGAACTGATACTATTAAAAGATGATAAATAATTACCAGATTTCG